TGAATTAACCCTTGGTCTCCCATCTGGGTGACATTGTAAGTCATTGGGAAGTCTTGTCAATGACTCCTTCTCTCTTAGGTTGCCCTCATTTCTGTGGATAGTGAAGAGATGGGCCCGCCACCTCAGCGGCACCTGCAGGGGTTGGCCGCAGCTGCCATGTTCTCTGTGCCTTTTTACTCCCCCAGGACAGAAGGGGGGTGGGGCTGTTTTGTCCCCTTGGTCCTTCCTGGTGTTCTGTGATTCTGTGTCTGCTCCTCTCTTCCCTGGGCTGATAGCGGCTCCTCCCTGTACTGCCCTCACTTTCCTCCTCACTTGTGTCCCAGGGCCTCTTGGCCTTTCCCCACGCAACACAGAGTTTCCCATTTTTGGCTGCTCAGAAATGGGGGGCATCGGGCCCCTTTCTGCTTATTTTGGCCCAGTTGTTTTTCAGGCCCTGTAGGGGGCTCTCTGGGGCCCACCTCCCACCGGCTAAAATTGGTGGAGGTGGCATCTTTGAATTAGAGCTGGGGTTAGTCTGGAGCAGGCCTGCTTTATCTGCTACCCGTGGGCACAAGGATGGTTGGACAAGCCTGGTCTGGAGACTGTCTGGGGGCCCACCGATGTGGGCTGGCCCCTGCAGAATGGGGCTGGGAGCTGGCCTCCCCCCAGCAGGCACAGAGTGGCCTTCCAGCTCTGCCCAGGTCCCACAGGCCCACGTGGGTCAGGCATCCTGACGGATACTTGCGGCTGAAGCCTGCTCCTTCCTATTCCTTGTGCAGGGACCCCACTGCCCAGCCTGGAGGGGAGCTGATGTTCGGGGGCACGGACAGCAAGTACTATCAGGGGGAGTTCACATACCTCAACATCACACGACAGGCCTATTGGCAGGTCCACATGGACATGTGAGTGCTAGGCCAGGGGCAGCAAGGTGGGGAGGGAGCCCCTCCCCCCCAGAATGCCCCCCAGCTGCTCCCATGGTGGGCTGGACTTCTTCTCCCCATTGTATTCCACTCCTGCTGGAACCTGGGAGCAAGGCTGGGCTTGGGGGGAGAGAACCTGCAGTGTTCTGGAGCAGCGGAGGGCCCAGGCATGTCTCCTTTCTACAGGGTGAAGGTGAAAAGTGACCTGACCCTGTGCAAGGATGGCTGCGAGGCCATTGTGGACACGGGGACCTCTCTCATCACTGGCCCTGTGGAAGAGATCAAAGCCCTGCACAAAGCCCTGGGGGCCACACCCCTGATCCAAGGGGAGGTGAGAGGGCAGGCAGCCTGGAGGGCAGCTGGGGAGGGGGAGGCCTGGTGGGCAGCCTGGTGGGCAGCTGGGGGGGGGGCGGCCTGGAGGGCAGCTGGGGAGGGGGAGGCCTGGTGGGCAGCTGGGTCAGTGGACCCGGGGACCAGAGGGTTCTGCCTGGTGACCGCTGCCTCTCTGTCCTTGGTGTCCCGACAGTACATGTTTCCCTGTGAGAAGGTGACCAGCCTCCCATCTGTCTCCTTTGTGCTGGGGAACAAGGCTTTTGAGCTCACAGGAGAACAGTACGTCCTGAAGGTCAGTGGCCGTGTTGGGGGTGGGGGGAGCCCTGAAGCTGGTGAACTGCTTTGTCTCACTCTTGCGGGGCCGGCCTGGCACACAGTAGGCGCTTAATAAAAGCTCGGGGGATCGCTGGGCTCTTTAGAAAAATTGGATGGCAGGAGAGGGGCTTGTAAGCCTCAGAGTGGAGCGGGGAAGGGAGAGGGCTGGCTTGGGATGCCCAGGGCTCTCTGCAGCTCAGGCATCCTCCTGGACGCCTGCCCTTGGGGAGCTTACAGTCTAACCAGGGCCGCTGGCCGGAGCCAGGATAATTGGAGGGTCTGGTCTGGCTGGCCTGGCACCCCCTGCTGATGGGCCCGTGGCGTCCTCCCTAGATGAGCCAGGCTGGCCAAACCATCTGCCTGAGTGGCTTCATGGGCATGGACATCCCCCCGCCGGGGGGCCCCCTCTGGATCTTGGGTGATGTCTTCATCGGCCAGTACTACACTGTCTTTGACCGGGACAACGACCGCGTGGGCTTCGCCAGGTCCCGCTGACCGCCCGGCGTCCTGGCTTGCGCTCCCCTTGCCTCTCCGCTGGGGTGGAGGGACTTCTATCAGAAGAACGTAGAGAGAACATGGTCCAGACAAACCACTGTCCCCTCCAGCCCTCGTGATGCCCATTCACCACTTCCCGGGGCCCCTGGAGCCCCCTGCCCCTCCCCCACTACTCTGCCCCCAGAGCCCCCCAACCCCCACACACTCCTAGACATGCAAGGACCAGAGCTGCTGCTGAGAGCTTTCTGTCTGTGTCCTCCGGCCTTTGGGGAGACAGGTTGGAAGCAGAGGATGTGGGGGGCTTGGGTTAGCCCCTGGGAGAGGAGAAGCCTCCCCCAGCCTCTGGGCTGCAGAGCCCAGGGCCTCGCTTCACCTCACATGCCCCCTTGTATGAGGCTGAGGCAGAGCCCTTATCAGCTGGTGTCTGCTCTGGTCCCCTGCCTCCCAGACCTGAGCATGGGGAGGACTGGGGGGCCCAGAGCCCCCAGATCAGAGGGTCACGTCCTGCCTGAGAATCTACTCTGGACCGCTCCAGGGAGAGGGCCGAAATGCTGGCTGGGGCCTCGAGGCAGCACGTGGGCCCCAGGGCCCTGAGGGTGGGGGAGCAGCTCTGTGGGCACCAGAGCCCTGGGGATGGGGGGGCAGCTCTGT